GCTACCAGACGACCATTCATCCGAAGGTACCGAACAGTAACCATGACAGATCTTGAGTATGTGATAACACTCTACTGCTGAGCGACTCCATCAATGGCTTAATGACACTAATAGCAGAAGTATGCAAGGTGGTCTCGATGAGTGACCCAGCCAAAACAAAGATCTAACATGCAAGGCCCCAACTCGACTAATGACCCAAAGATTCAATGGAGTGAAACGATCATCGAGGAGGTCGGAAACTTCAAGTACCTCGGCTCTCTACCGGCAAGAAGTGGAAGATGCGATCTGAAACTAAAATGGCCCCTAGAGATAGCGAACTACGGGCGACAGCGACTTTATAAAGTGTGGCAAGAGCAGCCTATCCGTACTAGCAGTGAAAGCCGTCGTCTTCTCAATCCTAGTGCACAGACCTGGAACTTCAACCCCTTATAAGCGCCATGAAAAGATGCTGGACTCTTTTCGGCAGCAATATCGGCCAAATATTCTGAAAGTGTGATGGTTTTATTGATTGAAGAATGAAAAGATCTTTGAGATGACCGACCAGAGAATACTGTATGAAGAAGTCAGCTTCCAGCGTTTGTTGTGGCTTTGAGAATGGACACTTATCCAAAACCATTCTGATCTGGGAAGCAAAGACATGGCATAAGACGGCCAACATCGCATCCCAAAGCAGTTGCTAGAGGAAGACTTTCTTGCGACGAGGAATCTGACCTTCGCTGCGGAATCCATCATTGTCTAGATCATTCTGAGAAGCCAAAGCGTCAGACATAATTTTGGTACTCGGTCTTTGACCCTGATACATCAGAAGACGACGACAACAAAAACAATAATATCACTACGCATAAACAACCCAAACATGACCTCACGTACTATACTGTATTGAAAAACAAGTACTATATCACCATCTCTGGGAGTATCGTTCAATCTGCGCAAGTGACTGTCCTATCGAATGTAACAATTTCCGATGTACTCCACAGAGCAGCTGCACAAAAGAGCTGTTGGTTTGCTCTAATGGCCTTCTTAGCAACTCGGAGTAATTGGACACAAGATATGCTGCTGTTCCTCGAGTCATGCATAATTTCACTATCATTGTTAAAATAGCAAATTACATTGGGTTGATCGAGACCAACTCCTTCTTTATAGTAAACATAATGGTTACTACCATCGCAATAATCTTCATTTCACGGACACATCATCAACTGAACCACGTTGGTCATCACTATTTTGGTTACTGTTTCGTTATCAAT